CTCTTTAGGGTAACTGAGGTTTGGGCACGTTGCAGCATTACGGGGGTGGACATTATGCTACTGTCTCTGATGATGGGTAAGAGCAGGAATCCGAAACGTCAGGCGAATAAAGCTCCTGTTCCAGCGATCGTGTCCCCTCCCTAACAAATGAAGAGCTACCGGAAAATTAAAAAAAACTTAGGTGTGTTAGAGCTTCGATATAAGTAAACATCAAAAAATAGGATGGAGCTGAAAAACTCAACGAGAGTCGGAAAGACGGATATTGAGGCATGCCAAATACTCATGAAGTGAGGCTTGAATCCACATACATCCGAAGAACTGAAGTCAGCCTTAGGGTGCATCCAGCTGGTTTGATGCCCACCGGACGTCGGACATCGGTGCGAACGCTGACCTGGGATGCGGAGTCGATGAGACTCCAGTGCATCCGGATGCCAAAGCACGAACACCCCAATCGTCAGAACCAGCAGTTGATCGTAGTTAGTACGCATTCCGGTCGACTAATGGGGATTAGTGACGACCGGAGACCGCAGACGGAATTCGTGAATGATTTTATTTTCCCCAAATTATGACCAACCAAAAGGCAGCAGAAGAGATACTTCGCGAAATCGGGTGCGCAGATACTCGGTGAGTTGAAAGTGGGGCATCGGGGTATTCACCTCGTCTTTTCGTGCGCCCGGTATGCCGCATCGAGCCGTGACTTGAGAGAGCCACACATGTTACACACATTTTTAAGTCTTAAGTTCTAAGGAAGAAATGAGCGAATGCATAAGACCGCAGATTCAGAAGCGCGAATTTTCAGGATATTACTGTACTGATGGTCGAACAAATATATTAACCTAAACAACTATCGGCTGTCCGGCAGCACAAACCAGATATAGCTGCGGACGTATTTCCCACCCCCCCCCCCTCCCCGCCTCACGACACAACGATATAAATGTTTCGACGTTAGTGCGCTCTAGCAGTCACTGATTATGAACTCCAGTTCGAGTTCGAAAGCTAAGGCCAATAAATATACCAGTCCTAGTTATCGTGCCTTCGTCTTGCTTTAAACAGGAACCTAGGATGTGCGTATTCTCATCCATTCGAAAGAGATTAACTTTGAAGAAGGAGACACGATCGCCGGGACAAGAGCTTTATTAGCCTGACGTTTCGGATTCCTACTCGAATCCATCATCAGAGACAAAAGAGCAGAAACGGGTGGTTGTTGCACAAGGGGCTGCGGTATTTATAGGATGCAGCAGCCATGCTACCGCATACCTATGAAGGTTCACGGCTTCCCCCTTCATCCGGGATTGTCACACTTGGTGTGATCATTGATTGATGGCCGATATTCGAGTCGATACTTGCTGCAATTTCATCACGTGCGTTGGATGTTGGCGTGATGATTGCTCGACCATCTGACGCGTTGACCCGGGTGTTGGGAAGAGTGTTCACCAGTGCGCTCCCCGCGTGGCCAATTACTCCGCCTAGACGAAGTCTCAGCACGCTGTATTGAATGGGAAGATCGTTGCACTTGTTGATGGACTGGGGGCCAGTAAACCATGATTCCAGTAGCTCCCGGCTCACTCGGTTGTCACCTCTTGCGAGAATTTCGGCCTCATCGAATTTAAATGTGTGGCCGGATCTCGTCGAATGAGCCGCAACTTGAGAGCTGGCGTCATTTCTGCGCACCGCTGCCGCGTGTTCGGCCATTCTCGTTCGGAGCTGTCTTCCGGTTTCTCCGACGTAGTTGCTTTGTCCGCAACTGCACCAGATCCGATAAACGACTCCAGACGTTTCTAGCCGTGGCCGTGGGTCTTTCGGTTTCATGATCAGACGCCTGATGGTTGCCTCCGGTCTGTGTGCCACTCCAACCCCAAGTGGTGCGAGAAGGCGGCCGACCGCTTCCGAAACGTTCTTGACATACGGAAGTGCCCGCCAAGACTTAGTGTCCGTGCGGTTAGGCTTTTCGTCCCTTTTGCGTATGCACCGGTCGACGAAGTTGCGCGGGTAGCCATTGGCTTTGAAGACCCGTCGGAGGTATTGTAGTTCAGCAATTTTGTCTTCCGGCTCACTGCAGTGCCCGTTTCTGCTCTTTTGTCTCTGATGATGGATTCGAGTAGGAATCCGAAACGTCAGGCTAATAAAGCTCTTGTCCCGGCGATCGTGTCTCCTTCTTCAAGGCTTCTTCCTGGGACTCGGCTCTTCGCTTCTATTGGCAGAATTAACTTTGCCGATACAAGCAAAGATGTCAGCTCCAGGAACTAGGTGATAAGAAGTAGAAGCGATCACTGTAACAAGGGCTTTATTCGCCTGACGTATCGGGTTCTCACTGGAACCCATCATCTGAGACGGTGGCAGAAACGGGTGATTCGTGCACAGGAAGTTGCAGTACTTACAGGACGCAGTCGCTATGCTACCGCATACTTATGACAGAGACGTCGTCATCGTACAGGTGGACAAGGGGCGTTCCACGTTCGTATTAGACAGAACAGCCTACCTTCAGAAATCCAAAAACCTACTGGAGAATCGCCAGTTTTGTGGCCCATGTGAAACCAATCCCGTAAAAATGCTGACATGCGAAATCCGCGCGACACTGTTGACACTGTTGATTCGGGCGCGATAACACCGGCCGACCGATGCATAGCGAGAGCCCAATAAACGGCCTTGGGCCAGTTGTATGGTCTCTCCAAGGCGCACAATGACAGCGAACCTCTCCGGCCCATTGTATCGCTCACAAAAGCTCCAATGTACGGACAGGCAAAATGGCTGTTTCGGCGTCTCATATTTCTGACCGCAGACACTAAGGTCTGTTCTTCAACACAGTTGCCCCGACATCTGACAATCGAAAGTGTCGACCTATTCCTACAAAGCAAATACAATGAAACGATGAATCGTCTCGGACATGCCCAAGTCCTTCAGCTCCTAAAGTTCTGTCTCAGGATGTACTTCACGTTTGACGGAACAATCTACGAGCAGGTGAAGGTAGCATTAATGGGTTCGCCAATTTCCGCATTCATCGCCGAGGCGATCCTACAACGGTTAGAGTCACTGATCTTCCAACACCACAGACCGAAATTCTGGGCTCGGTATGTGGATGACACCTTTGTCTTCATCGAACGGGATCAGGTGCTTACATTAAAAGAACCCCTCAACGCCGTCTTCCCGGACATTCAATTTACGATGGAGGAGGAGCAAAATAACCAGATGGCCTTCCTGGATGTCCTCGTCTGCCGCAAAGATTGTGGTGGCCTAAAGATTAAAGTGCTCACGAAAGCGACGAGCACGGCGCAAATACTGAACTTCAACAGCAACCACCCGATCCGTCACAAACGCAGATGCGCGAGGACGCTATATAGGCGTATTGAGACGCATTGCAGTGAACCGGAAGACAATGTTGCCAAATTTTAATAGCTTCGACGGGTTTACAGAGAAAATTCTTACCCGCGTAACTTCGTCAACCTGTGCATGCGCAAACTAGACGAGCGACAAAGTCGTACCGATCCCAAATTCTGACGAGCGATCCCGTACACAAAGAGGCCGTTACTCGCCTTCTAGCACCACTTGGGGATGGAGTTGCACACAGACCGGAGGCCACCATAAAGCGTCAGCTGATGAGACCAAAAGACGTACTGTCACGGCAGCAAACATCTACAGTCGTTTACCAGATCTGGTGCAGTTGCGGACAAAGTAACTACGCCGGAGTATCTGGAGAACTGCTCCAAACGCGAATCGACGAACACGCGGCAGCGGTGCCGAGAAATGGCACCATCTTTCAGGTCGCGGCCCATTCGACGAGACCCGGCCACACATTCATGTTCGATGGTGCCGATACTCTCGCGAGAGGGGATAATCGCGAAAACTGCGAGTTGCTCGATTCATGGTTCACGGGGCCCCAGTCTATCAACAAGTGCAACGACACCCCCACTCCATATTCCGTGCAGAGGCATAGTCTGGCTGAAGCAAGTAACCACCCAGGGAGCGCGTAGGCCGGTAAGTCAGATGGCCGAGCAATCATCACGCCAGCATCCAACACGAGTGATGAGGCTTCAGCAATTAACAACTTGCATGCCGGCCAATAAGCGCACCAACGGGCAACAATTCTTGATGAAGGGGAGAGCGGTTAATTATCATAGGCATGCGGTGGCATTGCGACTGCATCCTGTATGCACTGCAACTTTCTAACATGATCAAGAATTTTCTGGAAGAAATATCCCTGGTTCATGTATCAGCTATCAGAATTTTAAAACGCCAAACGACCACTTCACTATTTTGTCATTTTGACAATGACGGACAACAGACCACCAAGTAACGGCACCACCACCACCATCATCTACACGGAAATCTCACTTGTCACGCGGTTGTCTCACGGAAGCATTCAGCCGCCTACTCAATCCATTTGAAGTTGGGGTTGCCCACAGACCGGAAGCTACCATTAGTCCCCAAGTCATTAGGCCGAAAGACCCGCTGCGACGGCAGGAAACGTCAGAAGTCGTTTACCGGATCTCGTACAGTTGCGTACAAAGCAGCTACTTCGGAGAAACTGGGAGATTACTCCGGACGCGAATAGTCGAGCATGCAGCAGCAGCGAGATGGGGAGACACCAGCTCTCAGGTGGCGGCTCATTTTAAGGTACCCGCCCGTATTTTCAAGTTTCATGAAGCCGAAATCCTTGCATGGGGTGACAACCGCGTGATCCGCGAGCTGTTCGAGTCATGATTCTGAGGCCCGCAATTCATCAACAAGCGCAATGACCTCCCGTTACCATATTGTGTGCTGCGATTTTCCCCGAGCAGGGGAATCAGTCACGTGTGGGGAGCGCGGGCGAGCAGCAAAGCGGGCCAAGTTGCCTAGCCGTCATTATGTAACACCCCAGCAGACCTGACGGACAGAAACCCCTTTGTTTTAATGTCACTCGCTCTTTTTGTAGATCGATCGTGAGGACTACTCACTCGAGTCGATCACCGGTGATGATCGATCTGATAAGTCCAATCGTTGACAACTTTTCGTTTATCTGTTTTTGTTGTGCGTTGATTCTTATGCGTCTACTATTTCATCTTTTCCCAGATTTTTGAACCGCATTTTGCGTGTGTCCATGTACATATCGAGTTTCTGATGTTTTCGTTCACGACTATTTTTCTATCGTTCGTTATCGTTCGTTTTTTGCAACCGAGTTTCGGCATCCATTCACTGTCATACATTATCTCTCACGGCCGATAAACTGTTTACATCTTCCACTCATCGTTTAATACTCAGTACTTACCCGTGTGTCTGCAAACGAATGCCTGTGTAATGGATACCTTAGGTGCGAACACTCAGGAGTCGGAGTCCCTGACCAAGAAGCGGAAGTTATACTCAGACCCTACTGATCCTCAGACTGTTCCGTCGCCAAGTCCCCAGGACATTATAATTACGACAACAGTCAACACGCCTGATGAAATTGCGGCACTTAACGACTCTGACCCCGCCTGACGAGCCGTCATCCCTTCAATTACAACCCCAGCGGTGATCGCGAGAGTTGTTAATTATAGTAACCACGGCAACTACCAACTACAAATACTGCAGGCTTTTTGCATCTATTACCTTTATCTGCAGCTGTCTCTGATGGTGAGTTCGAGTGAGGATTTGAGACGTCAGGCCAAGAACCTTCTTGTTCAAGCGATCGCATCTTCTTCTTCTTCTTCTAAACTGCTTCTTGGAACTCGCCTGTTCGCTTCTATTGGGAATACTAATGAGTTTTTAAGCGGCTCAAATATATAAAAATAACCATCAGCATGTGGTTATTTCAGAATTCTTGGGGGTCTTGAAATGCAAGTCCCGAATAGAGGGAGGATTGCTGTATTCGTGTCTGAACACGCAAGTAGGTAGTTATAGACGTTTTTAGAGAGGTCTCAGCTATTGACGAATTTTAGATATTCATGGGTAACTGTGAACCCTGACCCCCGCGAATACCGTACGCAGATGACCACTTTTCCCAACGTGTTTTCCTCTGCTATTTTATTAAAAACCTTCCGATTACGTAAATTAGAAACGGAGGTCAGCGCTGTTGAGCCACCGTGGCGGGCTTTTATGAATTGAAAAAGACCCTTTTCCCAATAAGACGAGTGATAAAGAATCACCCAACACAAGTCGTGTTTTCATTTAATGCTATGTGAATTCTTGGTCTACCCATCGATCAGTCTTGTCTCCACAGCGTACGGATGACTGCGCGCTGCTCTATGGTACATGTCAAATTCTTCTGTTAAAAATGAACAGGTCTCCCTGGGACCAACATATCTTCGCCACTTAAGGAAAAAAGACTAACGCGAGGCCACAATCAGCTCAGCATGAAATAACACGCCCATTAAATCCTGCACGATGGCAAAGAAGTGCTAGCTTTAAAACCAAGCTTTAAAAAATAAACGGTTGAACCGTTCAAGCTGGCCTGGAGAAGTAGCGAGTCAGGGCGTCTCGGAGTCCGCCAGGCTGAACGTCTGAGCGCGCCGGTGGTTGTCAGCCTTAGACTACGAAGAAAAGCCTGCAAAATAAAAGGGGTCGCAGTTCAGTCGCACATTTCGTCCTTTGACCGGACCTCGGTAGGATATGGAAGTGTGAACCTCCCCCCGCAGTACGGGCGGCATTGCGCCAACTTCCAGGGGGGGAGGGTTGGAGTTTGGGTTAAAATTAGGACAGAGGAATGGATGCTCCACTGGAATTTGGCACAAGGCCACGCACCGTACGGGGATCCATATTTCATGTCCGAACCCTGAGCCCAAAAATAGCCAATCAAATTGGCACTGCATGAAAACACAAATGCACCGCCTGCACCGGCCTTATTCTCTTCAAAACCGACGTCTGAGGTTTTTACATTCACTTATAAAGCCATCATCAGGGTCTGCGCACCCTACAGCACGGAACATTTACGTCCTCTTGTAGGTACACGCGGAAGGGGTCGACTACCAGACACTGAGAGCATCTCTTCCTAGGACTAAGAAGAGGCAGGGCCTGGGGGTCATCTCGGCTTCAGTTGTGTGCGAGTAATGCATCAGTAAGGGACCAGTGACAGCACGCACCCAGGCTGAAAAACGACCCTTCATGGCGATTTCCGGTCTAGTAATCAGTTCAGAGACTCACAAACATTTGTTTACGCGGAGCCGTTGTAAACATAATCGCGTTAGCAGGCGGCAGACGTGATTTGACTACCAGTCGGTGTCCGCGTGCGATATCATCAACATGAGGTCGTTTGTTCCGACTGCGACCAAATGCACACAGAGGCGAACTTGCAGTTAGTGTCTCTTTTACACAGCCTTGATTTCTAGCACCGAAAAGATAAATGACTTCTGTCTACTCCACCAAGTGTAGTTTATTGTCGACCAAACCTGATCTTTACAGTGGGACCGAAACCATTAGTTCGATTAGCTGAAAGGACTGCTGCATGGAGTATGAAGTCAAAATTATCGGCTTTTTTAATCTTCGGCGGGGGTGGCGAGGAGGGTGTGAGGAAAGATAGCACGCAAGTTCCAACAGAGGAGGGAGGGGGGCGATAGGGATAAAATGGGTTCGGACTTGTACGACACCGATTTAATGTTCCCGTACGTGTGCAGATGGCCAAGGCAAAACAGTAATATACAGCATCCCGCGAGTTTTCTGGCTGCAAGGTGCGGTGACAAACATTCGGAAATAAATAATTCTAGCATTAAATATTCATAGATTTGTTTGTGAATCCCGCTATTCGGTCGTTTCACTCCGTCCAGTGTTTGGGAGGGCCAATAGAAGCGAAGAGACGAGTCCCAGGAAGCAGTCGTGAAGAAGGAGACACGATCGCTGGGACAAGAGCTTTATTAGCCTGGCATTTCAGATTCCCGCTCGAACCCATCATCAGAGACAAAAGCAGATACGGGATGGTTCATGCACGGGGGCTGCAGTATTTACAGTGCGTGACCTATCTTATGAAATGTTGGCTGAAATTCTAAAATGCGTTTTCGATTAGGAAGGACTTCTTGGTCGCGTTTGTGGTAGTGATTATCTTAAGACATACTCTTACAACAATTTCGACTCGGCAGGATGTCGGCTTTTAAATGAACGTCTTTTCAATCTCCTGTAGAAAGCGTGTTCAGTAAAAAATGACTACTTAATTAGCGTGCATTTTTCCCATTGATTTTCGATGGTCTTGGAAATTCAAATATCTTTTATAGAAACCATAAACAAAAATATGCTTTCTTTTAGTGAATCAATAGAAAATCACGTCTTCTTTATATTTTATTCTTAAGGAAGGAGTATAATTAGGTTTTAAAAAAGTTTTCTAATTGCCGAAATATTTGGAGCCTGAACATTCGTTGCATTAACGCTTAGTGATTACACTCTACAAGGTGCATGCGTCCCGCGTAAATAGAATCCCATATTTTTCTATCTCATTAAAGAGATATCATACA